GCAGAGCCGAGGAACCCGCAGGAAGGGGCGCGCTGCCCTGCCCGCCTCGCCGTCCTGCCCGCCAGGGGTGGGTGCTGCGCCCCGCAGGGCTCTGCTCCTTCCTCCCATCAAAGCAGAGTCTGGGAACGAGCGTTTTGGGGGACGGTGACATTGTCCCTGCTCGGGATGCTGCCTTGGCCTCGCCACCCTCCCCGTGCAGTGCGCCATCAGGCTCGCTTCGCTCTGCATCACCGCTGGCGATCGCTGCGGCACTTCAGGGCAGCACCGCGGTGGCACCGCTCACCCTAGTGCAGCCACACACCTATAAAACGATGCCCGAGGGTTTTTCCACGCTGGAAATCCCCAGCAGAGCCGCAGGAGATGAGGAGCTCCGGCAGGATCTGGGTGCAGCACGTTGCCGCATGCTGCTCGGAGCCTGGCAGCGCGCGTGGCACGGCGAGAGCCACCCCCAGCTGCGGCCGTCAGTACGGAACCTCCACGGCTCTGCCTTTAAAAGCCCAGAAGGAAACATTTGGCTTCCACGAGTCGCAGCTTCAGAAGCTAAGAAAGCAGAACAGAAGCCAAAAGCAACTGCAGAAATTCCAGGTCAGTAACCTGCTCAAATTGGAGGGTAATTAATAACCACCGCTCGCCTGCCGACGCCTCGGGACGACAACTGCCTCCCCGACCAAGGGCAGAGCTCGAGCGGACGCCTTCCCCCGCGCCTCCGGGCATTTCTCCCGAGCTGGCCCCCCACGGCTCTCCAAACTTTGAAATGCTGAAAGGTAAAAGCACTGAGAAACAGGAGAAGATGCTGAGAGTAACGCTTTCCCCATCAGAAATTCTCACATGAGAAAAAGCTGCTGGTAAACGAAGCGTGAGAGCTAACGCAGCACCGCTTCACAGCGGGACCGTTCACCGGAGGCAGCCCGCTCAAAACCACCCCGGCCAAGCTGTGCCACTGCTACGGGACTGCCGGGGGTGCTGCAAAGGGAAACCAGCCCTGCCCGAGGCACGAGTAGCTCAGGGAAGGTGTTAAGGAACCCGGTACCAGGAATTCCTCGTGCTGGCCCGAGGTGTCCCTGCGATGCTGCGTGGCAGCAGCGCCAGGCTGCGCGGTGGCACCTTGGAAAAATCCCTCCTGTGGCACGCTTGCATGAGGATTTTAGGGAGCAGGGAAATGGAGAGGATGTTTGAGAACAAACAAAAAGGATGTTTTACAACAAGCTGCGTGACGGAGACCTCACCGTGCCTTATTCCAGCCACCCAGAAATGCCCGGAGGGGACGTCTTCATGTGCTCCAATAAATTTCACTTCGTAACACGCGGGAGAAAGGCATCAGGAAGGAAAGCAGCATTCAGATGGCTGACCCTCTGAAAAATGGTTAACCCTCTGGAAGAGCCGGGCAGGACAGCAGAGGAGTGTGACCACACCATGTTCCTGCAGCCCTGACCCCGACTCCGCACTCGCCAAGCGCAGGGGACAGAGGCGCAGCACGGGGCAGCGCAGTGGCATGAAAAATCCTAAACCCTTCCCCAAAGCTTACAGCCACCTCAGACATTTGTGTCACCTGTAGCTTGCCTTTCTTGTACGTTTTGCACAGCTCTGTGGTTGTTGTTGTTGTTTTAAATCTCCAGAGGCCCATAAAAGACCTGGAAGAAGACAAAGGACTTGCATCCGCCAGGACAGAGCCAAAAAGCCCACCAAACCACCACCTAGAGCACGGAACCAGGTGAGACCCCAGGGACGCAATATCCTGGCTGGAAAACCCTCAGCTGCCCGGGAGCACAACCCAGTCCTGCTTACACACAAAAAAAAAAAACAGTCTCACTGCCCAAGTTCAGCTTATCTACTTTCCATCGCTTGCTGCCAGCGCTACAGACTCGCCCAAATTATTCGTGTTTGACAGCAGAAATGTGCTCAGCCTCTCAGGCAGCCTTTGTGAGCTAAGCCCGTCAACGTGGGAAGATTTGGGAAGGTCTGTTCACAGCCGGGCAATAAAACGGCCTTCTCCGTGAGCATTGGATCGGGTGTGCCAAGGACGATATCCAATTTAACCCAAAGCCCCTCAAAACAGCTTTCCCTTTGCTAGCCCCAGCCCATGTGCGTTTTCAATATGCTGCAAAGATCTTAACTTGGGCAGCAGACAAGCTGCGATCGTAAACTTTCCTTCTGCCGACAAAGCAGCTTGATATAAAGGACACCTGGTGCTCGCTGGAGCAGACCCCCCACTCAAAACGTGCCCTTAGACGGGAAAAAAGAAAGATTAGGAACGGGGTGGCTCAGGCACTACGCACAGCTTGATGCCCGTGGCACCCTCAGCCCTCTGGGGACTGCTGGGGCTGCCTGGGGCAACACGGAGAGGAGCTGCAACTCTCAGACTGCGGAGAGGCAACACGATGTGAACCATCAGACCCTCGAGAACACTTAAAAAAAATCAAGAAAATAAGTGGCAGCGATGAGCTGACAAGAAGCAGCTGATGCTCCGAAGCACGCTGCAGATCCCAAAGGGGTGGCCTGAAGTGAAGGGGGTGGATTATTGCCCAGGAAGCAAATTTTTAATCACAAACTCCTGAGGAAATGGGAGCAGCACCACACCAGCACGCTGGGTATCAGCCCAGGGACCAACAATTCAGAGGTTCCCCCCTTCTGATCATCCTGCAGGAGCCCAGCCACCTGAGAAGCTTTCAAACGAGCACAAAAATATTTCTAGCAGTTGGTGGGTGAGCACCCCCCTGCCAGGAGCGGGGAAGCCGCGCTGCTCAGAGAGGGGCTGGCAGCTCCCTGCGAGCAGCAGAGCTCCAAGCCCTGCTGTGTGCACTCCACCTAGCGGTTTGCAGGCCGTTTGTAATTAATAATGCTAATGTTTGCTCTGCCCTGAGCCAGCGGAGCAGCTGGAACGCAGCCTGGAGACCTACAGAGCCTTAGGAAGGCGCTCATCCTCACACAGGGGTACAGGCACCATCCCAAAGCGTGCTGACTGCCCTGGTCTCAGCCAGGACAGAGTTAATTTTCCTCCTAGGAGCTGGTAGGGTGCTGGGTTTGGGATTTAGGATGAGCAGAGTGCTGAGAACACCCCGATGTTTTAATTATTGCAGAGCAGTGCTCACACCAAGCCAAGGACGTTCCAGCTTCACCCTGTCCTGCCAGCGGGCAGGCTGGGGGTGCAGCAGGAGCTGGGGGGGGACAAACCCAGGGCAGGTGACCCAAAGTGCCCAAAGGGGTATTCCATAGCTTATGGGGTCATGCTGAGCAATTATAGGGCTGGCTGGCTGGGGTTACTATTATTTTCCTGTCTTTATCTTGACTCACAAGCTTCACTTTCCCGTTTCTCTCCCCCATCCCAAAGAGGCAGGGGGAGGCTGAGCGAAGGGCTGCGTGGTGCTGAGCTGCCGGCCGGGTTGCAGCACAGCCCTGACAACCCTTCTGACAGAAGCTGTAGGGCTGCTGGGTGGCTAACAAAGATTTACTTTTTGTTTTTAGGAAAGGAGCGCAGCTACAAGCCCGGTGAGTTTGCTCTATGAAGTTTTGGTTATCCGGGGTTGGCTGCGTGCAAGATTTTCACTCAAAGCCATGCTAGGAAAGGCCGGATCTCTTTGCTCGAGAGACATTTACAACAATTAACAAGGCATTTGTGGCTAACGAGACATTTTCCCTTTCACCTCAAAGGGAAAATGGAAGCAGCCACCTCTGCTGTCCGTAGACCCCCAAAACTGCAATATCAATAACGGTGCACAAATGTTTTACCTGCTGCTATTTGGGAACACGTTTGGAGGACAAGCTACTTCTCTTTCTGCCCTTGCAGAGAGCCTGAAGAGAAGCCCAGCCTAGAGGTAAGGCTGGGTGCTCGTACCTGGGGCAAACAGAAGATGAAAGGAACCATCTAGAATGACCCCGGAGACAAAGCGGGTTCCATCCCCTCCCATGAACACCAGAGGTGCCAGGGAAGCGATCTGCAAGCACAAGGTACAGTAATGAAATCCAGCCAAAGGGAGGCTTTGGAACACGGCGTGTTCCAAAAACCACAGTCCGTGCTTTTCGCAGTGCAACCATCCCTCTGAGATCCCCACCGTGCCCTCCTGCTTCACCCAGCACAGGATTCCTCGGAAACAACGGCAGGGATGGAGCAGCTGGGCATAAACCAAACTCATTGATGAATGATTCACTTTGTAGACAGGCAAATTAGAAAAAAAAAAAGCTTTAAACCAGGATTTGTGAGGGTACACGAGGGAGTCGGACACCCACATCCCCCTGCTCGTTAGCTTCATCGAGTGCCTAAACCTGAAGTCTCAGCGCGAGCCCCCCGCCTGGGGGATCACAGCCAGAGCCTGCTCCAGGAGGGCAGGCAGCTCCTGGGGGGCACCTGGGAGATTTGGGGGAAACGACAAAGCTCAGGGAGGTAACGAAACCGCTGCAGCACCACGGGAGCAGCCACAGCACTGCCCCGACACCACCTGCTGTGCCCCCCAACCCGACAGCAAGCACCGGGGAGCCGTACCCAGCCCCAAATGAACGGGGTGAGGGCAGAGCTCACGAGCCGGGAGGAGGAATGGGACACGAGACATCACCCCAAAGGACTCCAGCACCGCGGTGCAGCAGAAGGTAAGGCAGAAAACCAGAGCACGAGGGAACAATCCAGCACTGAGCACTGCCTGAAATTTCAGACCCAAAGCCCCGTGGCAGGGACGGACGCTCTGGGGTCTCCGTGGCTGTTCCCGCTCAGAGCAGAGCAGGACAGCACGGAACATTTCTTTACACTGCATTTGGGATCACAGGTCTGCAATCCCTAACGGGTTCTGGTGTCCAAAAAATCCTTCCCATCCACCCCACATCCTGCTGCTCCCTAAGCAGGAAGCCTTTTAACGCCCAGGCTGCACCCCAGACAACCAAGGCTAGGAACAGAGCGCAAGCAGTGGCAGGGAGCCTGCCAGCAGATGAGGGATTAAAAATAACGTGTTCAGGGCAGAAATCACCCAGCAAATTCTCCTGCATCTCCTGCCATCCCCTCCCCACATACATACTGCTTCATGGCTATCAGCTTGGAGTCCATGCTCTCCTGCTTCCCCTTCATCACCTGGATGTCGGTCAGCAGCTTGGTTACATTGTCCTGCCGAACCTTTATGTCCTCGTTCTTTATGCTGGATACCTGGGGATGGAAAGGAAGATGTCAGCGGGGTTTTCTTCCTACAAAACGGTTGTTTAAGCATCCAGGTTGGTCCTGATCCCATCTCCCCACCCATTAAACACCTCCCCTCACCAGAGCTGCATTCACACTGGCGTACGTTGTGTTGAGGGATGAGAAGTGGTCATCTGCAGTGAAAACTTTCTGCACACAAATTGTTATTTGCAAAATCAAATTCTGTTGCAGCCTGAAAACATCATCCTTTTGGATCAGACAAGCCATGCTCAGGTAAAACCGGAGGCCTGTGGAGGAGCTGTTTGCTCAGAACAAACCTTCGAGAGCTGATGGACCAAGACTTATCTACAACAAACCCTTAAAAGATGGGTGTGTTTGCGCTGCAGACGGGCAGTGGACATCCTTCTCGCACACTTCCAGAAGTCTGCTGTGTGCAGTGAGCTGAACGCTGCTCTCAGCAATTAAGGAAGTCATTAGCTGGCTTGTGAAAGCAAAGCAGGAGCAGAAGGCAGAGGAGCAGGCTGCAGCAGGGGCCTGCAGGCAGAGCGGCGAGCCTCCTCCCGCGGCCGGTCGCTCGCCATCCTCATCATTTCCACTACAAGCACAAAAGCAGCCGAGGAGATTCCGAGCAGACGATTTTCTTGTTGATAAAACACTCCCAAGGCGTGACACCCGGGTGTGTTTCACGAGAGCTGAGCCACATGAGAGGCTGGTGAATCTGCCAGCCCCTCCTGGGGCTAACACAGCTCCCCTGCTCACCAGCATCCCCTGCACCCCGCTCACCAGCAGGTCGTTTATCTCCAAATCTCCTCACGTCCTCCCAAACGTGCCTGCCCGCTGTGCCAACGTCTAGAGGAGCCGAACGGCTCAGCGTGAACGGCATCCAGTTATTTGGGAGCACCCCGGGAGAGGCAGGCAGCGAGCTCCTCTCCAGGCGCTGCTGTGATTAATACTTGGCTAAGAGTGACTAAACCACGTTTGACTAAGCCACGTCTCCCAGCCCGTGCTCAGGACCAGCAGGTTACCCTGGGGCATCCCCAAGCATTTTTGGAACCCCGGTACCACCCATCACCACCCCGTGCCTCCAGCAGCTTGAATTTCAAGAACTGGGGGATTTGTAAAACACATCTGTGAGTTTAAAGGGAGAGGGCAGAGGTCTGGGCTTGGGAGACACCAGCGGTTAGTACATTTTCAGTAGCTCAGGCACCTTGCCTTTCCTTTTCCTCCCTCCACTACCACATCTAACACTTCTCCACGTGTCTGGGCGTTACGCTGCACGGACACGTTTTACATTCCCTGGAGCATTTAAGCAGGGATTGCAGCTTAACTAGCAATCAGTCTCCCTCTTCCTGAAAGCTGCAATTGTTCTTCCATCCCTCCAGGGGACACAGCAAACCTGCCTCTGCCCAGCCAAACCCAAGCAGATGCTACTTGTCCGGAAAAAAAAGGGAAAATAAGGCAATATTTGTACTGACTCCAGAGACAGGCTGGTTTGTAAGGCCCGAAAGCTGCCCCCAGAGCACCCCCATGCTGTCCCAACCAAGGCTTTGTTTTCAAACAGTTTGTCAAAACCTTTCCCGAAAGATGCGTTGCGGAAACTTACGCTGGTTACTTTCCTCTTGATGTTTTCCAGGAGATGCTCCTGGCCTCGGATGAAGTACGGGTGCTGGAATTCGGTGTCGTCTTTCTCCGGCTTCACCAATCCTCCCTGCTCGATGTGCACCACCTTTCGGAAGCCATCTGAAAATTAAACGGGAGATGGTTGGAGAAAAACTCGACGGGCTCAATATGAACGTCACAGAGCAGAAACAAACACGAGCTCCCCTTGGTTGCCCCTAAGCCCTCGGTCACTGTGCCATTCCTAACACATCTCCCCCTAAAAATGCTTCGTGGAACGAGGAACTCCTTAACCTGATGGAGGCTACGCCAGGCCTTCTTGACAAGTGGCACGAGTCCTCCACTGCCCCTGGTCCTCTCCAGGAGGGCAGAGCCACGCAGCCGCTGCCCTGAACCATGGAGCAGAGCAAGATCTGAGCAGGATCCACTTCTACGTCCCAGAACCCTTCTGAAAAACACCTTTTGCTGCTCTCACAAAGCCAATGTTTGTTTATTTGGCTGACAGCACGGGGCAGCAAGAAGAAAGGCTGAAATTATAGGAGTTAAAGCAAAAGTCTCCAATTAACCTTCCTATTTCCCGATTCCAGTCCCTCAGCCCCAGGACACTGTGGTTACACGAGCACACAGCATCTTCCCTCGCCTTCTCAGCGCAGATGGAGGCAAGGGAAGATGCATTGCCACTGAGCTTCTTTTCAGGAGCACCACCAAAAGCAGACTGCAACATGCAACCCCAGAGATGTTATATTTCATTTATTTGGGGAATAAAGTGGCTTCTGAAAGCAGCTGGCCACATGCCACAAATAATAATAAAATTATTTGTACTTTGGAGACAAACCTGTGCGAGTGTTACCGGTGTGCAAGGGGGGGTGACCACTGTGGCATCTGACTGAAGTAAGAAAAATAACAAACTGTGCTGGAATTCACCCTACTCTCACTCATGTTGCTATCAGTTTATTCAAAGCAGCACTCAGAAATCCAATTTATATTTCCTGGAAGGAGACAGAAGCTTGGTTTTGGTTACACACTGAGGATCACTCCAGAGTAGTGACCAGCCTTCAGGGCAACGTGCTGACCCCAGCACTTGCCCCAACTTCCAGAGCAGCTCCGGGTTTTGTGCCGCACACTGTGGCCATCCCAAAGCTGCTCGTGTGGGTTCCTCATCACAGCTGCTGCCCCCAAAACTTGGGATCAAAGAATTGTAAGACTGGAAAAGGGCGATACGATCACCAGGGCCAGCCGGCACCTAACACAAGTCCACCACCAAACCCCCTCCCCACGTCTCTGAGACACCCCAAAAGGACAGCTCTATCTGCCCGTGGGGGAGCCAAGTGGTTTTTGATCTCAGCTCTTCCGTGAGCCGCTAGGACAAATTGCAAGCGTTATTTGTGTGTGTCAGGACACAGCTGTGGGTGGAAAAAAGCTTCCTGCACTTGCAGCAGGAAGGGATTTAGTGAAATCACCCCATGTTGTGGTGCCAGGAGCCAGCTTCCAGCCACTGGGGGGATCCCTGGAAGGCCAGGACGTGCCCCACTGCTACTCCGAGCCGGGCTGAGGGGCAATGAAAACCCCTGTGTGCGGGTGGCTGAGGGGGTGCCACAAAAAGCCCTGGGCCCCCACATGCCCCTTCTGGAGGATTTCCGAGCCCTGGCTCTGGTTTTGCATAGAGCAGGGTAAGCGGACTCAGCCTGAGCACCAGCCCGGAGGCTGCCCCGTGGAAATCCGGCTGAATTCTGCTGCGAGCAGGCATCTGAAGGGCAGAGCTCGGCACGAAGCAGTGATAACCACACAGCTGGGGGGGAGCAGAACAAGCAAACCCCAATAAACCACGCACAGAAACTCAGGATCTGTTTGAGGCATTTCCCTTTGATAGAATCCCTTTTATAACGCACGCAAATCAAGAGGTGTGGGCGTGGGGATGGGGTTTGGCGGTGGATTTGTGTTAGGTGCTGGCTGACCCTGGTGATCTTTTGGGTCTTTTGCAGCCTGCTGATTCCATCCCTGCTTCAAAGAGGAATAAATCGCTCCGTAATGCCCCCGGCAGGGAGGGGCTGAACGGCAGAAGGAGGGTTTGGGTTAGGCATCCAGCAGCCAGCCCCACTGCTCCGCCACCCTCACACTAAAAGCATTTCCCCGAGGAGCTCGCAGCATCCGGGCTGTTGGAGGCTCGTGAAACCACTCCCAAAGCCACCGGGATGAGACAGAGGGAGCTGAGCCTGCCTCCAAGCAGAGGATCGGGCTTGATGATGGCGAGAGCTCTGCTGTGGCTCTAGGGGGAAAAAAATAACTGCTGCTGAGACGAGCAAGTTCAGTCAGCGCCTGCTTTCCGTGACTCCGGCGGCAACATCCCCTGGAGAAAGCGGTTAGAAAATTACCGAGCTGTCACTCGTGGCTTCTCCGTCCAGCTGGAGGCCTTCCAGGAGCTCCTGCTTCATTAGGAGGTGGCAAGGAGAGCAGCAAGGAGCGCCACCACCAGCACTAACGACGGGCGAGCTCCCAGGCTCACACCCAGGGAAGGGCAAGATAAAAAGCCGAGAGCTCGAGGTTCTTCACCTCGAGGGTTGTTGGTGTTAGCAGTTGCTCTGCCTGTCAGCACAGCCAACCTTAAACCTCCCCCCGGGTCCCCCCGGATCACTGCAAGGGCAGAAAAGGCCCCCAGGTCAAACACAACGCCCCCCAGAGCGGGCTGGGGCCGTGGCAAGGAGCCCCCCCGGGGGGATACTCACACATATTGAGCTGCCGCACGAAGCTGGCCATGTTGTTGTGCTTGAAGTACTTCGGGAGTACCTCCTTGGCAAACTGTCCTTGGTCAAACACATGGAAGCTGTTTCCACTCTGCCAAAAAAATAAAAAAACAAGACAAAACGAGGCGTTATCGGCCACCATCAGCCCGCTCCACCAGGCAGGTTACGCACAAAGCCCCAGCCCCGTTTTGCAGATGTGTTAATTGCCCACCCCGTGCCAAGTGCCAATTAGCTTGATTTCGTACCGACAGCGCGGCGAGCCCGCCTCGAAATGTCAACATCTGGCAGCAAATTAACCCGATTCCACCTCCTGCCAGTCTCGGCGCGCCCGGGGCCGCGCAGGTGGGCGAGGACCCCCGGGATGCAGCGCCCGGGGGGGGCCGTGAGGATTTTAAGCAGCGGGGGGTGGCGAGAGGTGAAGGGTGCGCCACGAGCACATCACCCACCCCAACAAACAGCCCCGTTTCAGCCCCATTTCAGCCATGCCTCATCTGTTATCCCCCTCCCACAGCAGCCTGGTTTTCTCCCCCCCCAGCATCCCAAATCCTGCTCTCAGCAGCTCCCTGAGGTTCTTTTTCCCCAACACCTCCTGCACCAAAGCTGTTTCCAAGACCCGACCCCGGCGCAGCGCTGCAGGGACCCCGGGGCTCTTCCCAGCCCCCCAGTTCTTACTGAGCCCCCCCACCCTCCCCTTGCACGCACAATTTTCCACGGGGCAGAGCCCCAAATGCTCTGCAGAGCCCTGCCCCGATTCCTTCACCCCAAAAGGACTGCGTGTGGAGGAGAGGTGAGGAAGCCCAGGCAGTTTTACTCCGTGCCATTTCTCACGTCGGTCACAGCTGCAGGATCCCTTCCAAACCCTCCAAAATCGAGGTGAGAGCACCGCCGACACCGCTCTCCCCAACAAAAACCTTCTGGGTGCCCCGGGGGCACCAGATTCCCCTGACCCAGCCCCTGGTGCCACCAAAAGCTGTGGCTGAGAGGCCAAAAATCACTCAGCCGGGAGCCCAGCTCCCATCCGGGGCGCTACGGAGCTGGCCCCAAACACCCCCAGCCCGACACAGCGCTGTGGTGTAGGGGCTCACACCCCAATTTTGCCCTGCAGCTCCTGCTCCTTCCCTCTGAACGCCCTGCGCTGCCCCTCCGCCTCCTCCAGCCCCAGGGGAATCAGCGAGGAGAAAATTTAGGAGCGGGATCCTCAGCCCTTACACGTGTTTGGGTTCTCAGTCTGTGAAATAAGCAGGAAATCCGGGAAAATATTGACTTCAGAGCAACAAAAACCCCCAGTTTGATGCCCAAAATGGGAAGGGCGATCCCGGAGCGCTGAGGTGCCCTGGGTGGGAGGGACAGCAGAAAAGCCAGGATTTACCCCAAAAAGCCAAGCGATGTTCCTACAACACGGCACCGGCGTGGCCCCCCCCTGGAAGGGGGGATTCAGCAATGGGTGGAAAAACCTGAGG